GGGCGCGAGGGCCCGAGGCTCGGCGTCTCTCGCCGGTACCCAGAGGAGCAGCGCTCACAAAACTGCCCCTCGTACCCTGCTGGACAGGAGCAGCTCTCCACCCAGGCCACAGGCACACCGGGTCCAGGACGAGCGCTTGTGATGGTAACATCATCCAGGTGCCCAGCACCTAGAAAGCACCAAGAGGGGAAACACTTGGTAACCACGAAGGCTCTCATCACTGTTTCACCAAATACACATCTGAATGGTGTAAGAGACAGACAGGTGGATGCTCAGAGCTTGTAAGGTTAATCACGAAGCAAAATCCTCCAGGGAGGCTTAGACAGATGAGAAAAGATACAACATATCTCACAAAGGCCATGTGCAGGGCAGGAAAGTTGAGAATAGCAATACAGAGGAGGATGCTGAGAACAGCGTGTGAGCAAGTACGTTCACTTAAAATAAGTTACATTTTGTACGCATATGGTTTCCATTTCCAAACAAAATACCAAAACCAATTCCTGTCTTCCTAGGCAGGACAGACCATCTCTCCGGCAATTTTAATACACCATCTCTAACACAGTGTCTGCAAACCGTGCCTTGGGGCAAACTGTTCTGCTACTCCTCTCAAGCCATTCCTTCATCTGGCATTTAAGTGCTCCCCCCTCTCCTCTCTGCCGCTTCCGTGGAGCAGAACAGTGCCCAGACACAACAAAGCTGGTTTTTAACTTATAGCAGTGTGTTTGTACCACCACAGCAGCTCCAGAGCACTGAGCAGAGCCTCAGCTCCCACATATTAGCAGCAGCTACCACACTCAGGGAATGGCTTGCTCCACACCTTTCCTCCCCTCCATTTCACAACCCCACAGTCCTCTTTATGAGCCACACTTACTGAAAACACTTGCAGATTTCCGACCTTCCCCAAATGCAAATTCATCCTTTGCATCTTTTTGTAAAAATTCTTCACATAACAATATCCAAGGACCCAGATATTTTTGCTCCTAATTTGTGCCCAATTTTTATAAACCCTCATTACAAGGAACTTTTACTCAAGTTCAGCACAGGCAGCGCTTTCAAGACCTCATCCTTCCTATTTGTCATTCCAAGGCAAGACCAGGAAACAGGGGGATGTAACCATTCACAACACAGTAGAAACTAAGGCCAAATGTTGTAAACTCCCTACATCTCTCCTACCATGTCCTTCAGGACCCTGTGCTATGTATTTCTACTGATCTGGAAGACACTGGCTATGCAACACAGCAAAACCCCCACATTTAGAAGCAAAAAACCAGCAGGTGATGGGTGCTCAGCTTCCAGATTCTTTTCAAAGGCAGCACCTTTCTTCCCCGTGTCCTCTTCAGGAGGCCTGGGAGAAGCTGTTACACAGCCAGCCAGATGAAAAGCAATTGGCATAGGCTTTGCCAAATAAGCTGACACAGGTATTTATGACCAGGCCCTACAATAAAGCAACCCAAGCACTGACAAATGAGTCTGCCTCTCTCTTCTGCAACATTCTGCTCAGCGACTTACTTCTCTCACTGTACGTCCCACGGATCTTGATGGAAGTCAAGTTGTGGAGAAGTTTCTGGAAGTCAAATGCTGTAAGAGCAGGCCTCCATGGGTAATCTGTAGCCTCGTGAAGCCTATGGAGAAGAGACATGCATCATCAGCAAAGCTCGGAGATGCTAACAGCTGTGCCCTTTTAATGCACCCTTTCCAACAGCAGTATGTTATTGCAACATTAATTCACATACGCTTATGCAATGCTGCTAGACAGTGAGCTTCAAATTAACCTAGTAACTCTTCTGAGCCAAAATTAATGCTGTTTGTTTTCTCAAGAGCTCAGAGGCCAGGGACACAACGGGCTAGATCCCAGCTGCTCCCACCGTGCCTGGAGAGTTCTCTCACCTGAAGGTGTAGGTCAGCGCATTCTCGCTGGGGTAGGGGTTGCCCTGGGCAATGAGTGGCACTGACACTCTTAGCCCAGCCCCTTCCAGCACCAGGTCCTCCGCAGAGAGGCGCGTGTCCCGTCTGTCCACACGGAAGGAGAAGGACAGGTTTTGCCCGTAACTCAAAAACTGGTTGCCCAAGAACTTGCCTGAAAGGGGAAGAAATGTTTACAGTTAGGGATGGAACAGAAAGGGCACAAGCAGCACAGAAAGCTGCACTTCTCAAATGACCTACGTGGTGCAACAAAATACACGGGGAAGTAGCTGTCTGAAATAACAGAGATATCCTGGGTCTCCCCACTCCACTGGAGTAAGACTTCCGAGCCATCGCGCTGCTCAGCACGCCACTCATCCTCTCCTGAAAAATCAAACGTGCAAGAATTAACACCCTTTGAAGACATAGCTTTGCACACACTTCTCGTGTCATACAGCACACTGCTCATATATAACTAATCTGTAGTCTGTACACTGGTACTAACAGACTTCAGAAAGTAGCTGGGCAGAAGAACGTAGATAGCAAACATCATCTTTACAATTTAAGCCCCTAACTCAAGGGCTGACTTGAACCCTCTGAATTTCAAACCCTATGGCAACTATTTGTTCAAAATCTCCTTTTCTAAAGTGCTTAAACAGGGATGTGAAAACCTGCAGTGCCCTACGACTTGATGAGAGTTCCAGCCTTTGTACGAACCGTTCTACAGTGGAATTTTAATTAAAAATACGTTCTTTTCAGACTACACAGCATGAAAACATGCATACACAGGAAACCGTATGAAAAAAAGATTTTTCCTGAGCTTACAGACCCATCAGAAACACAACTTTGTTTTATTCAGAGACATGTAAACCCCAAATCTAAAATTATTACAATCCTTTCAATGAGAAATTCCTGATTTGGTTCTAAAATAAAGGAAATGCCCCCTTGCCAGTACCTCTCTCAAGCTATGAAAGGTTTATATTTGCAATTCCCACTTGCACCTGCAAGTGTACATTAGCTCTGGGTGCCTGAGGCCAGAGATATGAATTGATTCCTCCCTAGCTGAACAAATGAGCTGCAGAGAAGCTCCCAGTAACTTCAGAAGTAACTCAGCACTTCCAAAAGAGGGATCCTGGACCTGCCTGCCCAAAGTTTGCAGTCTTGCACAGAGAGGAAGGAGCAGGGTTTTTTTAATTGCTTCTGACTTGAGACTACAGCCCAATTCAAGATACAAAGAAAGGCTCGATTTTACCAAACTGGAAGTTGGACGTGATGGTGTAGATACTGTAGCCAATGGCACTGGTGCAGACTGAAGAGTGTCCAAAACAGAAGCAGGGGATACAGCCCCTTGGAATGGAGGAAGCCAGATGGAAAAATCCAGGTTTGCATCTGAAGATGTGAAGGAAAGAGAATTCATTTCCCTGATGCTTACCCCAGGCCATTGCTCAAATGTTTCTCATTCTTGAAGCAAAGCCACAGGAAGAGAAACTCACCTCTCGCAGTGGAAGCCTTCGACATTGTCCTTGCATGTACACCGCCCTGTCTCGACATTGCATTCCCCTGTGCTGCCAGCCAGATTGCAAGAACAGGGCCTGAAAAAAATCAGGAGAGAGGGTAACTCAGGGCCCACGGAGAAAGCTTTAAAAAGGTGCCTAGCTGTTCTTTTAGAGAGCAGCAGTGTCCCTTACCTGCATCCAGCTTCAGAGAGGGAGTGGAAACCTGGCTGGCACCGGTCACACTTATCACCCATCACACCGGGTTTGCAGCTGCACTGGCCATAGCTGTCGCACTGCGTGCTCAGGGAGCCTGCGGGGAGAGCAGGGACAGGCACCTCAGCAGACCCGCCTGGCTCTATTAGCCTGCAATCCTTTCAACTTTACGAAATGGAGAAGAAATACAGGAAAAGAAGTGGGAAGTATAGCTTCAAGATGACAAGTGACAGCTTACTTAAAGACTGCCTCTAGTTCACAGGGCTTTTTCCCCTAGCAGCTCTAGAGACATGAATCGTTATCTAGTCTTCCAAACTATATTTAGCTTAATAATTTTAACTTCAAATTGCATTCTCATCCTTATTCCTGTTTTGTCCTCAATGCTACCTTTGCATGCCCCTAATTCCATGCCTGTTTCACCATGCAGTGCACCATTTCCAAGATTTTACTCCCTGAATCCCTTGTGTTCTCTGTTATCACCATGTCACCTTTGCCAGGGGATATCCTGACCTCTCCTTTTCATGCTCCAATTTCCTCCCTTGATTCCCAAGTTGGATTTAAAGACTAAACTGCCGCCTTGGAGTCAGGCTGCATGTGCCACTATTAACACTAACAAACTCTTCAGCAAAACTCATTTTTGGAAGGACATTTTCCTCAGTACTGCTCTGTTCAAGCACAGTTGCACAAAAAGCAGCAGGAGGTTTCTTTAATCCACAGCAGACACAATGCTTTCTCCCAAGCACCAGTGTAGCTAGCAGCCTAAGAGTTGTCCACACTGTAAGAGTTAACTACCAGGAGAAAAGCATTTTAATATACAGAAATAGTTGCTTCTTTCCACTTCAATCCACACTAGAAGATTATAGTAAAGTGAAGAGTTACAAGATGATTAAGCTGGACAGGACAGAAGAACTCACAAAACCTTTACAATTCACAGCCAAAGTTCAAATCCCCTTTGCGGTCCCACTTATGATTATTTAGGAAAAAAACAATACTTGGACAAAAATTAGCAATCTAAACCTATCCAGGGGCTTCAAATACACCCTGGGTGCCAGTGTGCCACAGGATACAAGTTGATGGCTAAGTCATAAAGCCCTTTGAAATTTCACAGAATCACAGAATAGTTCAGGTTGGAAGGGATCTTTAGAGGTCATCTAGTCCAACTCCCCTTCAGTGAGCAGGGACATCTTTAGCTGGACCAGGTTGCTCAGAGTCCCATCCAACCTGACCTTGAATGTTTCCAGGGATGGGGCTTCCACCACCTCCCTGGGCAGCCTGTTCCAGTGTTTCACCACCATCATTGTAAAAAAATTTCCTCCTACTATCAAGTCTAAATCTACCCTCCTTTAGTTTAAAACCATTACTCCTTGTCCTATTGCAACAGGCTCTCCTAAAAAGATTGCCCCCATCTTTCTTATATGTTAAGGTCTCCCCGGAGCCTTCTCTTCTCCACACTGAACAACCCCAACTTTCTCAGCCTGTCCTTGTAGGAGAGGTGTTCCAGCCCCCTGATCATTTTTGTGGCCCTCCAGAAGTCAGCTCCCTGTTTCTTCTCAACTGTCTCAGTGGACACCAACACTCATCCCTCTTAAAATAAGGTCCAACACAATGACCTGGGAAAGCAGATGGAGGAAGAAAGAGGCCTTTCTTGGTCAAAAATTTCACAACTGTACAACTATCCAACCAAATTAGACAGGAGCTGTACACTGGCAGACCTCGCTGGCTGCTTTTAGGGCATGCTGCAAGCAATTGCTTATTCCAGCTACTCTGTTTTAGAATCTCACATCATATCTTACTATCTGTTACCCTTTTGTCTCCTTCCCCCTTATTTGCTGCGGGCTGGTGCAGTTATGGGATTACTCTGTACAGGTCAAGTGGTTCCCCTGACAACAAAAGATTTGCTCTCCTGCCAGAAGTTTTTCCCTTTTTCTTTTTTTAAAGGAGTTTAACTACATATTTTGAGTTTGTTTTTCTCACCCCCACTCCCTTTTGTGTTTAAGGTTTCACTGCTTTGTATTTATAGTACTTGGATACTCAGTAGGAGAAACTGATGCAGCTAAAATTCACTACAATTCTTCAGCATGAACAACTTCCAGAAATATCTGCTCACATCATCTTGTTTATTAAGAATTTAAATGAGCTCTTTAGTACTGGGAGCATCCAGGGTAACACATACATAGTGGAAAAAAAAAACAAACCAAAACCAACAAAAAACCCCACCAAAACCACAACAAAATAAAATCTATTTCAGAACACATTTGAAGGAGTAAATGCTGCAGAGATGAACCATTTGCCCCTGCCACCCCAACCCCAATCAGATCCAAGGATAATTTAAACCAGAATACAACCCAATAAACATTTCCTACATGGGGGGTGGGGGAACAAAGAAAACCCCCTCTTTTTATCTTGTAGTTCGCAATTAGCTGCATAACTGAGAGAAGAGATAGCTTTTGTGCACAGAAGTTTGCAAGCAGAAACATTTACTGCCGCTACGTACCAACAGGGTTGCAGCTGCAGGGCAGACATCCCTCCTCGCTCCCCAGGCGATAGAAGCCGTCCCTGCACCTTTCGCAGTGGGCACCATCAGTGTTATCCGAGCAGCCCATGCAGTGGCCCCCGTGGCCCGTTGAGCGGTACAACTCAGGGTCAAAGTAGCATTCCTGCGACCTCCCATTGCAGTCGCAAGCTGCAGAGACAAGGGTACCATCAGTGAACAGCATGTGCAGCCATCCGACCCCAACAGTCACAAAACTCGCTACATAAAGCTCAATATTAAGTTGTAGGAGAGCTGGAGTAGGAGCCTTTAACCATCCTGAGACCCACGCAAAGTTCCCCTAAAGGCATTTGTGCATCAATGAGAAGAAAAAGGGGGAGGAGGAAGCACGGCTTTAACAATGAAACAGGCTCCTCAAGACCACTCTCATCTACGTCCAGAAGAAAATCAGCATTTTCTCACCTACTCCCTTCCACTTTGGGCTGCCATTTGCAGGTGAAATGCCACCCTCCCACATAGCAACACCAATCTCAATCATGCAAACAAGCACGAGAAGGTAACAGTAAGGCTGACTCCGTGCTGCAACGAGAGCTTCTCCCCTGGATTACAAATACCCTCTGTCTAGGGAGCCGGTGACCTAGGTTTCACTAGCCTGTCAAGCTGGGACCGATCAACACACACAGAAAGAGAGCTTTTCTGTCTGAAAAAGCTTCCCCATAAAGTAAACTATCAGGAGCTGTGGCCTGCGACACAAAACCAAGCGAAATAAACGGGCGTTCAGTCACAGAGATTCACATTCGCAGTCCAGAACTATTGCAACAGTCCTGAAATTGGATGAAATAGTCAGTAAGTAATTGTAAAAACCAGTAACCTGAATACAAAAGGAAGTCAGCGTATGCTAAATGAGGAGCTTTTTAAAGGGCAATTATACTCCAGCATACTACATAGCAACTTTTTTCTATGGGTCCCATAAAGTACAAGCCTGTACATTTTTGCAGTACACCTACTTCTTAACCATCACTCGCATCCTTCTCCAGAACGGAGACGTTCCTTTCTAGGGCTTTACCAGAAGGCTCCTACAGGATAGGAGTGGAATGACCAGCAGACCCACAAAACCTTTGCTAAGGAACACCAGAACTGTGCTTAATACTGGCTAACTGTGACTGAGACAACTTAAAACCACGCAGGGCCAGCTCCTGGGTGCCAACAGAGGCAAGGGACCCAACCCCTGAGAGCTTTTCCCCTCAAGTGAGGTCGCACATACGCAAGCATTCGTTGGCACTCTCTGCTGTCGCTCTCCTCCACGGACGGTCATTGAAGAAAGGAAGACACTTTTCACAGTCAACCCCAAAGGTATTGTGTTTGCAGTTGCAGACCAGCTTCCCAAGCTCATTCTTCATGCACTCGCTTGCATGCCCATTACATTTACATCTGGTTAACAAGAGACAAGAAACAGGTATTTAAACTCCAGGGATCCAGGACACTCAAACAGCAATCCCAAAAACAAAGCCCAGACCTGAAAATCTGAGGTGAGACAAATTCAAAGGTAGATGGTCACAACAAAATTGAGCATGTAACTGCTGTTGTTCAGCCTGGAGAAGAGGAGGCTCCAGGGAGACCTTATTGAGGTCTTTAAATGTCTAAAGGGGGTTTACAAGAAAGATGAAGCCTTTTTACCAGTGTCTGTAGTGACAGGACAAGGGGCAATGACCTCTAACTGAAAGAGGGTAGGTTTAGATTGGACATAAGGAAGGAATGTTTTACAATGAGAGTGGTGACACACTGAACAGGTTGCCCAGAGAAGTTATGGATGCCACATCAGTGTTCAAGGTCAAGTTGGACAGGGCTTTGAGCAACCTGATCCAGTGAAAGATGTCCCTGCCCATGGCAGGGTGCTGCATGATCTCTGAAGCTTCCTTCCAACCCAAACCATTCTATCTATGAAACAAACAGTTGTAGCATGCTCAAGGCAGGCATTTAGAAATGTGAGAACGTTAACCAACTCCTCCTCAGTCTGTCACTAAAACAGAGTAAGCTGAGTAGGCAAAGCAAAGATTTTGTTGGCTTTAGGTTAGTAAATTCTCCACAGCTTCTCTCTCATGAGAGTCCAGGAAACGGTATGCACACTGGCCATGTGCTGCTACTTTATCAGTAAGAAATTCAACAGCACAAAGGTGACTAATACAGAAGCCCAGGGAACTCCACAAACTGGTGGTGCAGCCAATGCAAATCCCCATGTTGTCAAATCCCGGTCTCAGGACTGCTCTCTGCAAACATTCCAAAAGACTGCAGTGGTCTCAGCTCTGTTTATGAAAACATTTTATCATCAAGAACTTAAGATTCTGCAATACACTTTGGCAAAAGGAACAGATAATCACAGTATTGTACAATGCTTCAGATCTTCATAGCAGATACCTCCCAAAATATATGTGAAGCAGAGACATTTGAGATTTTCTGTTATTCTAGGCTACAGATACAGGCAGAGAACATGTTAAAAAACATACAAAGCACAGGGTACAAAAAAGTTGGGGTTTTTTTCCCTTGTTTTACATTTTTGTCACTCTTTTCACCCTTCACCCTCTCAAATCACTTAACATTTCATCTAATCAAGGATAAAAATATTCAATCTCTGTCTGCCCCGAAAGTATAGCTACAAAAGGTTATACCCAGTATTCACAAGCTTTGTAGAATTCATTCTACTTAATTTTTGGTTTAGGACAGTCAATAAAGACCGAAGCCTAATGGTACCATGTGAGTATAATCAAAATCTTTAAAGCGCTCTAGTAATCCTGACCAAAAGCTTTAAATAAGTACAGAGGTTTATTGTCTACTCACCTACCACCCACAGCAAAATCAGAAATTGCATAGTAATAAGACTTGAGAACTTTCGGGTCATTGAAAACTTCATCTCCAAATGTGTTCAGACGATTGAGGGTCACTCTAATATCTGTAGCCGTCACCCATTCCTAGAGCAGACAGAAATCCCATCAGATTAAACATCAGATATCCCCCTCAAGTGCGTACCAGTGCTGCGTCATCAGCAGTTGTATTCACAAAGTCATTCCATCAATCAGCAAGTTCCTTCCTCATCATTGTCCCCTCCACACCTTGGAAGCTCACACACCCCTGCCCAAGAGGCCTTACACCACACCCTCTTGGTTTGGATGTGTTTTCCGGTTTGCTCCTTTCTGGGTACCCTTTCCAATGCCTTTTTGCAGGGTGACTGCTCTCAGCTGGGAAGCAGTGGGTAACCTCTTCTGCAAAGAGCGGAGCGCACACAATTATGCAAGCTTGCTAATCGTGTCTATCTGACCACAGTTTTCCTCCAAAGCTATACAGCACGAATGGGAAAAGCTTTAGGGTACACTCAGCTGCAGGAATACACTGCCAGATGAAAAGACATAAATGAGTGAGGCTGGGGAAGGCTGAGGAAGAAAAACAGACAGGCAGATCTGACTTAGAACACAAGAGCTTTTAATAATATTTACACAGCATCCTCACCACAGTACCCTACCCTCCTCTGGCAACAGCCAGCAAGTGCAGCCTGTCCCCAAATTTCACACCACCTTCAGCCAGTGACTGTCCTTAGTACCTCCTTATTTTTATTACAGCTTTTGCAACGCCATTTCCCTTCCCTCATCACAAAAAGAACACAAGAAAAACATCCCTGTATGTACAACTCTGCTGCAGCTGTGTCACTGCTTAGCCAGTACAGTAAGAAGATTTACTGAATTACAAACACTGGCATAAACACATGGAAATGCTGAGCACAAAATACATGCTTGCTTCAGTTCTGAACAATGCCAGAGGTTTGTACGTATTTTAGGAAACTGGCAGTCAGGTGCCTATTCCTTATATAGAGAAATTTATTGGAAAATTATATGCCATATCACTAATGTGAAATCTCTCCATTCACCTTAATGATTAGATTCTGTTTTCTGCAAGGGCTAGCTACACCAACAAGGTGGTCAAACTGGTTCTTTTCCATTTCAGGAGGAGTTCTCCTGTTCCCATTAATCTTTATTTTCATTTGCAGAAGTGAGCCCCACCAGATTCTGCTCTTCTGCCCACTGGATGGGGGTCAGAGACAGGCGAGCCCCAAGATCTCAGTCTGCTCCTGCTGCTCTAAGAGGAAAGGGAGGGAGTGGCAATCACAGCTCCAAAAGGAAAGAGACGAGCCCCAATGGGGCAAACCCTACAGCTTTAGCTCCTTGTTGCAATATCAGCTGCAGAAGCCATCAAGCAGAGTACAAAAAGCAGCAAGCAAATCAGACAAACTGGTGCTTCCAGTATGCTCCTGACCACTGCCCAAGCAGCACTGGGAATGCTAACAACAAAAAACCCTGACCAAACCCCCTTGCCAAGCCATTTCTAAGAGAAAAAAAATACTGTGGATAAAATCAGGCTCCCTCATCCAACATACATGTTAAGAGAACAGGTTAGAGTTTCCAATAACCCTTTATTTCTTTAGAAGAATCTCACATTTCTTAATTTTTTGTGCTCAAAATATACATGCAGATGCCTCAAATATTCATTTGACTTAAGGACAGAGGAGGGTAAAGCCTAAGTTTGAAACAGCAGCAAAATGCCTACAGCTGCTTTCTAAGCAGGCAGAGGTTTGCATCCATCCTCTAAAGACTTCCATGATGTCTAATGACAAATCATTCTTAATGCCAGAGATTTTGCTTTTTGTACTATAAACTTACTAACACAATCAAGAGTTCAACTCTTCCTTCAAAAGCGTCTCTTTGGATTGTCTATCCCAACTTACCTGCACAAGGGCCTTTCAGTATGAATAATGGCTGTAGTGCAGCCCCCAGTCAGCCCAAAACCACCATCCACAAGAACTAAACAGAAAGACTCTACTCAGACCACCCAATTGACTTAGTCTTGTTCACATACCTGTAGCACAGGGCTGTTGTCAAAGTTGTAGGCACTTGGACGCCCCTCCAGTGTTGAGAATGCCACGTTGCCCCCGGTGAGAGGAGAGATGTCACTGAACTCATCCGTACAGAGTGCCTGCTGCTCATCCTCTCCAGTTCGAATAAAGCCACGATTGACTTTGTGATACGTGCTCTCACAGGAGCCACTGTAATACTGGTAGGGCACCCACGGGCCATCTTCTCTAGTGCGTTTGTAGATCGCAAAGCTCTCCGGCCGACTGGTGTGAAACTTCAAACGCACATATGTGATGTCAAAGGCCTTTCCTGCAGAGAAGACAGACATGAGAAAGACTCAAACAACTTAAAACAGAAAGAAGGGAAAGAGCTGCACTACAATTCTCTCTTTAGAAGAAAGATCTCCTCTAGTTCTATCCAGCAGGATGAGCAGCGTCCAGTAGCACCAGAAGTATCTCTTCCAGTCCTATGTACTGTATCTCCCTACAAAGACAAAGTGAAGGAATCAAAGGCAGAAGTCAAGGGCAGGCTGACTAGATAAAATAAACACTTACAGACTTCTGTGCAACCAAACACACATCTCACAAGCTCCAATTCTCTTCTGCAGACATCACCAACAGTGTCCTTATCCCAACAGATGACAGATTACATCAGACTCACAAACAGTTTGTGAGTATCTAAAGCCAGGCCCAAGTTAACCATGCCATTTGATAATGTTTCTTCCAAATACACGTTTAGGAGAAACGGTATTAACCAGAAAGGTAAGAGTCATATTGTAGAGCCTGTTTAGTACCTCTACTTCCTTCCTAAACAAACAATATCCCAAACTCTTTCTACTACTATGAAGCCTTTCCTCCAGCACTGAACTACTGAGTACACCCTCTTCTATCCTGGGAAAGACAAAACAACATTTAAGCTTCCCAGACCATATGATTAAAGTTGCCAAGACACTTTTCAGATCAAAGTGCAATGATGTACATACAAGCTAGCCATGTTCTCCCTTTCCTAGGAGGAGAAATCTAAACCCAGCTCCCTGCCGTCCATTCATCTCCTAACAGGTTTGTGTCAATCAGCAGATCATCCTCCTTCATGGATTCTTCTCCAGTGACTAAGCATCTACCCCCATGCACATAAACCAACTGTTCAGGAGACTCACACCCTGAGAAAACCCATCAGGGGGAAATGGACCATAGCGCACTTCAGCCACTTTCCTCTGCCATCCCCGCCAGCCAAGGAGCAGTTCCCAGGAGAAGGCGTACAGCTGCACACCAGCTGTTCTCGCTCCACCTTGGCGAGCAGACTGTGTACAATCAGGACACACTGGCACACATAGGGAACTTGCTAAAACAACGAGGTTTGCCTGGAACAAAACCTTGGGTGTTTAGTCCCTGCCACGCTCTTTTACACTCCCATCATCTCCAAGAAAAACACTGCTCTAAGCAGAGGTTGCAGCCATCACTGGTCCTTTCATTGAGCAAAAAAGAGCTACTAGAAAAGCTTCAACTGATTGAGAAACAAGTCTTTTTCCACCTGTAGAAGTCATACGGATTTAACCTCAACTTGTAAAATGAATTAACTCCACTGCATTAAATTTTAACACGAGGCTTTGCACCTGCTGAAGAGTGGCTCACTTCACAAGTTAAAGCAGACCAGACAGCATCAGGCAACAAGAATAGTGTGCCTCAAAGCACACGTGCAAAACCTGGTGGCAATGAATCACATCATGAACCACAGTTATCACTCACGTGCCACCCACCGGTTAGATAGGGACCAGTCTGCATTAGGCACGTCACACCCAGAGCCTGGCTGGCGCAAGGGAGGAACATTTGTCCTTTCTGGCTGCTAGAAACACCGAAGTAGCAGGAGAAGCATGGCAAAGGTTCCAGAAATCAACGTAACAGGAAAAAAAATAAAAATCAAGACATATAGCACCCGAAAAACTTACACCTACATGTCTCCAGGATAATAAAAGACCAATCTTGTGTTTAAAGGCAAAGAAATCTGCTGATACCCCAACGTATCAAAAAGTATTATCTGTGTGACATGCAAGACAGCTGGGGCATTGTACAGATACAAATCCCCCGATACTTCCCACAAAATACCCTTTCCTATTTATATCATGTGTGAGGTTACAGATGACCTAAGCACAAGACTGGAAGCCAGACATTCACAAGCTGTGGCTCTTGCTCAATACTAGTCCACTGTCGGTTTGGGGTCAAGCAATTTAATGAGATCTTCTTACACACAGAAGACAAGTCAGAAGCAATCACACTATTAGTGCCAAACTGCTTCCACAAGGGCTAGAAACTCCAAAGGATCAACACCGAACACTGTAATGCAGCTTAGGTGTACCCTCCCCTTGCTGCCCAATACAAGAGATTAATCCCTTTTCCATTTATTTGGAAGTATTTTTCTTAAGAATCTTAATGCAAGGCAAGAAGCAGACATCACGTGTACAAATCAGTCCCTCCCAGATTTCCCATTTTTCCTGCATGGTCTCCCCTCAAGAACAGAGCTCCTCACTGAAGGCAAAGCATGCTTCAGAGATGAAGATCATGCACACGCAGAAACTCCAGGTGAGCACACCAGACACAAGCCAATAGGCCAGACATGCACAAATATCTTTTTCAGGCCCACGGTAAACAAACCCAGGATACAATCCCCATCTTTTCCAGATAAAGGCAAAAAGCACCAGAAGCAAATGCCTCCTCATTCCTCTGCAGGAAAACACCAGTATATGTGTTGACCTGCAACTTGACAGTCTGAGAACTTCACCAACGCCTTGGATGGGCAGTAACTAAAACCAGACCTACTATCATGGTTTTATCTCTACTAAAACTCTCATCAGCTTATGACAACGTTTTCTTTGAGGTCACGTGCTAAAATACTGCAAAATATGAGGCTGAAAATCTGCCCTGGTGGGATTGCTTTGGGCAATTTTCATGACAAGTGAAAACAG